GACACTATAGCAGCGGACCCCGAACTTTTTTGTAGGATTTTTTAAGGTATTTCTAAGGTATTCCCTTGCCATCATTGAAGGAGCATTAAACTTTCAGAATAAAACATCTTCTAGACTCTATTCTGTTAGTATCGGAGTTTGAATGACCGATTGTTTTGAAACATTGTCAGACTGTAAAAATCAAAATGGATATGACTGGATTCTTTAAGAACATCACTGTGGCCCGATACCAAATAACCTGATCAAATTGATCACATTTTTTAAAAATGTTTTTATATACGTTGTAGCCAACGACAACTTTCTTTTAAAAATGATTGTGGAAATATAACTGTTCCTTTTGGTTTGGATTTTTTTTTTTTATGTTTTGATGACTAACCACAACGTGCGCAAGATAAAACTTGTTACGCTCAACGTGAACAGTGTTTGGAGGCCTTTTAGTGACACACCCAGTACCACACAACAATATTCATGGTATTTATAAACTAGTTTTAAGGCCTGGTCGATATAATGTATGATGACTTGTTTTTTGAACAGGGATTTGAATTGTAAACACCCACTCTTTACCAAAAAAAGATGTCTGATGATATTCCCATTCCACTCCTCACTGCCAGTCATATCTTGTTTTACTTGCAACACTACATTCTGAGTACAGAAAAAAGATAAATTGTGACAATGGGGGAAAAAAAACAAAACAAAAAACCACAAAATTTGAAGTGTACGTCTCGGGACAAAAACGACTCACAGCTTTGGGTGCAGTGTGGGCTTTTTTATGTAGAATTTATACAGCTAAGGATTGGAGCAGTAAGTGTGGAGGAGGCGATCCAGATGCTCAGTCTTAGTTTTATTTTTTAAATGTATCGCTTTTTCGATTTATTGTTTTTTTTTTTTGTGATTAGAACTCGAATCGAAAATAACGTAACCAGAAAAAAACATATTCTCAATACATTTATAAATACATTTTACACCGCTTTTTGCAAATATATCCGGTATTTTCCCAAATGCTTTTTTTTAGGGCTGCGCGATTATAGCCAAAATTATAATCACGAATAAATGAATAATGTGAATTGAAATCACGATTATTACAGATTGGCTGTCAGTATGTGGGAGACTCAGGGAAGTTTCACTATCCGAAACATTATTGCTTAATGGTTAAAAATTTATGAATGCCTCTTAGCTGGCCTGGGAACGCTTGGGGATTCCCCCAGAGCCAAAGTGATAGCAGAGGGGGAAGTCTGAATTTTTCTACTAAAGCTGCTGTCCCTGCGGCTTGACCTTAGATAAACAATAGAACATGGATGGATCGCTAAAAACTACTAAAAGGTTACATTGACCCAGACAAATTATCAGTGTGCAATACAAACATTTTTTTTTATTAGTAATAGCTACACATTAATTGAATTTTAAAAATAAATTCAAATTCCATTTCAATATTTGCTTCAACTTGACCACAGGACCATGCTAAATGTGCCTTAAATTAGCTTTCTAGAATTATTCTTTTCAAATTGAGTCTAATGTATTCCCTAAAGAAGGCCAGAAAAACTACATACAATTTCCACAAAGTAACTAAAAGTCTCTTTAAAAGTGTCTGTAGTAAATTTGTTGGAAAAAGGTTTTTTTCAGTTTTCTTGTACACATTTTCTTTGCACTGACAAGGTATTAGCTTTTTATCCGGACATGAATGGATTCTATTGTGGTTGTAAACACGTGATTTCCAGTTGAGCATGGATCTCCTCCCACCAACTCCTCCTCCTCCTTCACCTGCATCCCCTGGTGTCACTGATACTCATGTACAGTTGATCCCTCACACCCCCCATCGTCCCCTTTCCATCTGCATTAGCTGAGACCTAAGCAAAACCTTCAAATTTTTTTTGACTAATTTTGTCGCACCTTAAGGAAACTGTTAATTCACTTAAACGGTGAGTTAAAGTCCTAGGTGATAAATACCGTATTTTCCGGACGACAAGTCGCTCCGGAGTATAAGTCTCACCAGCCAGCTAGAGTGCCCTCTAGTGGCTGTCAGTGTGAAAATAACGAACATGTACATTTTTAGTGGCACAGGAGTAGCAGATACCGGTACACAGGCCTAGAGTGCCCTCTAGCGGCTGTCAGTGATAAAATAACAAACATGTGAAATTATATATTTTAATGTACAAGTCGCAAACTTAGATGGAAAAAAATTGTGCCTTATAGTCCGGGAAAATACGGACCATTTTAAAAAATTGCAAAAATCTCTAAAATGTGGTGTAATCTAAATCTAAAATCACGTGAGTTTTGAACTTCTGACCTTTGACCTCTTTAGTGAGGCCGTTTTTTTTTGTTTTTTTTCTGTTTCTTTTTTTCTGTCATGGTCACTGCAATAATAGCTAATTCCATCAGAGTCAACATTCCCGACATTCCTCTCACATTATCCCTGCATTTCTTTTTTTTTCCCCCTGGTTTCTGGCACCTGTGTGAGTTTCAGCTTTGGAAGATCTGAGTCTCTGAGTGTTTATCAGCTGCAAATATGTACACATTGAGGCCTCAGCTTTAGAAGCGTAAGCACCGGATGAGGACGATAAAATGAAGAGAAACAGCTGCCAACAGAGTCATAGGATTTTTTTTTTTTTTTTTTAAAAAAAGGTAAACCCGTAAAAATTCGTAAAAAACATATTTAGGAAAAGTCTATTAAAATTGTACTGAAGTTATTTTATATGACGTTAAGAATACGACTCTGCGAGTCTTTTAAAGAGTGACATCAACAAAACCTTTGGGACGAGACAAACCTCGCTGTACACAACAAACAGTCGGACGCACGCTCGCACGCACGCATCGTGAAGATACTGAAAAAGAAGGGCGCGGTTGGATATTACCCGCAGCGTAGACTCACAGTAAACACACGCATAAATACTCCAGGTCTGGTGTTGAACATGAGCGGCTGTAAATGCCTGCAGATGTCTCTTATATGAATTTATTACGGTACCCTAAATCACGTGCCCTTCAAGTCATTTAGTATGGCCCACAGAAGCAGAAGTTTTTTTTTTTTTGTTTTTCATTTTACATGGAATGAACAATATTTGTAACTTGAATGAATAATAATCAATTGCAGAAACATTTATTAATATGTTATGGAGTAGATACATCTATAATAATAATAATAGTACATTTTATTTCATAGGCGCCCTTCTGTCACCTAAGGACACCTAATATAGTCTTGCAGTTACAACTGGCCCTTCAAGGGGAACCGTATTGTTGTTCATCTAGTTTTTGTTTACTTTGGGTCCACAAGGGCAGGGTTTAACGAAGAAGGGTTTTTACAAAATGTCAGTTGAAGTAAAATAAACACTTTTCCTACTAATTACAAACATGCGAGCTTCGATACTTCTGGAGCAAGATCTGTTCACAGACTATAAAACAGTCCTAACATAAAAAAGTTCTAAACTTTTTCTTTTTCGTTTGTATTCTTTTTAGTCCCTACAATAGCCCAGTACTAGTTTTGGCATAAACAAATAGTACCAGTATAAACAAATAGGACCAGTATACGAGTTCCGTACCGGTTTTTGTGTGTTTTTTTCCATGGAAACTCCTCTGACTTGGCTCAGTTCTATCCACTTCATTCGATTTTATGTCATATATTTGAAGAACACATCTCATGGTAAATGTTGTAAAAGAGTCATAGAACCAGGATTTATTTCCTGTAGTGTTTAGTAAATTATTGGTCCTGGGCTTTATTTCTGTAACGTAAAGATATATAGTTACTTGTACTCTCTCTGGTACAAATTATCATTAAATCTTTTTGTTTAAGTTAGCTACTGTATGATAAGACTATTTCTAAACTTCTAAAGTGGATGTGCCTTTGGTCTGATACCGTGTCATTTTTCATGTCTTTTTTTCTGGCTAAATTTATCAGCATTTGTTTTCTGTTAAACATCTCTGTGGTTGTTAGCGAGACCCGAACAATGCAGGAGGAAACTCTGTGGATCTGCTGACTCTCATCACAAAGGCATTTCCTACTCAGCTACTTCCTGTTCTCAAATTCCACCCACATATGACTGGGAGTTTGGTGGCCCTAAAGAAAAGTTTGTGGAATCGCAGCTCCGAGCGGTGAAGCCCCTGAGTTGACACTTGGACACGTTGATTATACAGTTAGAAAACACCGTAGATGTGTGCTCCGGTTGAAAAGTCAGTAGGAGGAGCCCGAGTTTCCCCAAGACATCTTGTTGCCAGGCAACACGTAGTGATCTTCATGTCACTCTGTTTTGTCTTTTTTTTTCCCCCTCAATGTCCGTGTGTTGAGAGACGCCGCTGTCGCTGCACATTTGTTGGACAGCACAGGTTCCTCAGGGTCATTAAGACCACCCACAGTTAGACCTGGGTGGGTGGTGGACCAAAGAAGGAACTAGAAGAACATTATTCCTTGACTACTGGTGCTGTTGCTAATTCAAGTTTATTCTCTTGCCCCCCCCGCCCCCTCCCAATGGGTCCTAAAATTTGACAGGGGGCCGGGTCAGGAGCAGATAGATGGAGCATTCAGATACACTAAGATAAATGACATGTAAAAGTCACGCATAAAGGCTAGACTGCTAAAATGCTTTTGGCCATCTGTTGGGGAAACATGGGCATTGCAGGGAAGAATAATGATGTATAATGATAATATGAATGAATAACATCATTTGGAGAAGTTTGGCACTTTAGTGTAGCACAAGGCAACTGGCCCTAGCATGAGCGCACCCTAATTAGGTGAGAAACCTGTCAATCATGTGGGTCCAATGGTTTGCTTGGAGAAAGGTAGGCACTCAAATTTAGTTTTTAGAGTGATCCGCGGTGAATGTTAGTAGTTGTTTTGTTGTTTTTTTGTGCCATTTTGTGCCGAAGAACGCTGCAATATCTCTGACTGCTTAGATGCTAATATATTTATAAATCACCATAAGCCGTTGGTGGAACATCAGCTGATACCAATGTCCATCCAATGCATCTGTACATCCCTAATTTTTTTTTTTAACTTTTCTTCTTGTCTGTTTCAGAGACAATGGGAGATGAAGACTGACGTCTAGAACTCAAAAAAAAATCCTGGTTTATGGTCTAAAACATGGCGGCCCACCGAATCCGCTCCACCACAACCAACAACAATGTTTCCCTTCCTCGTTGCAGGTCTGAAGGCACGCTAATTGATCTCAGTGAAGGAGTCTCGGAGGCCACACTCAACAATGTCAAAGGTCAGAACCTACAGGTTCCCACACTCAACAATGTCAAAGGTCAGAATCTACAGGTTCTTTTTAGATTAGATTAGATTAGATTACATCAAATCAAATTTTATTCGTACCGCACTGGGGAAATTGTTGAGTTTCAGCAACGCAGAGACAGAGATAAAGACACAATAGAAACAATGGAAAGACTTTACAGTTCTATGGAAAAACTGTATATGCTGCATATTAACCAGACTGAAGGACCTTGAATTAACCCTCGACTCACTCTTCTTTTTTTTTTCTTCTAGCACTTTCTCCCAGTGCCTTACGTCTGGACTCCACTGAATCCTTCAGATCAGCCAGAGAGGTGGTCGCCATTAAGGACTACAGTCCATCCAGCTTCACCACTTTGAAATTCTCCAAAGGAGACCACCTCTATGTTCTAGACTCTTCAGGAACGGAGTGGTGGTATGCTCACAACAACACAGAGATGGGCTACATTCCCGCTGCCTACGTCCAGCCCATCGGTTTTAGGGACTCATCCTTTAGCGACAGCGGAATGATTGACACCATCGAAGATGGAAACGAGGAGTCAGCCAAAGAAATGGACCTGGTAGGAGAATGGTCAGGTGTGATTTTAAAACCATCAACCTTCCAAAACCGGAATCCCTTTGCTGTGACGTGCAACTCCAATAACCCTTTCCTAAATGGAGGTTCTCAAAGTTCACTAGACCAGAACAGCAATGAGAAGTCCGTGGACCTGCTCCTGTTTGACACGTCAACTCCATCTGCATTAAGTTCTGCCGAGGACAGATGTTTTAACCTGGACCTTCTTAGTCCCACTGTGGGTGTGACGCAAACATCTCGACGAGACAACCCGTTTTTTAGGAGCAAACGTTCCTACAGTCTGTCAGAGTTAACCATCTTGCAGTCACAGTCTGTCGACCCTCAGGCCTTCTCTGGTGGTTTTGGGAACCTGAAAGCACCGGCTCCAGAGCAGTTCCAGAGCAGAGAAGACTTCCGAACAGCTTGGCTGACCCATAGGAAATTGGCTAGGTCCTGTCATGACCTGGATATGCTTGGTCAAAACCCAGGCTGGGGCCAAACCCAGCCTGTAGAAACCAGCATTGTCTGTCAGCTGGACAGTTCAGGGGGTGCAGTCCAGCTTCCAGACACCAACATCAGCATCCATATACCCGAGGGCCACGTAGGTCCCGGAGACACCCAGCAAATCTCCATCAAAGCCGTTCTCGACCCACCCCTCGAACTGAACAACGACCGCTGCACCACCGTCAGCCCTGTGGTGGAGATCAAACTGAGCAACATGGAGACCAAAACCACGATCACCCTGGAAACGAAGGTGTCGGTGGTGGTGAAGAAGGAAAATAGAGTATCCACGCGGATTCTATGCGTCCGAAGTGACTGTAAAGAGGGTCCGTACACACCTATTCCTCAGGTCTACATGTACGGAGATATGGTCCAGGTGTGTCTGGACAACCTGGAACCTTGCATGTATGTGTGTGTTGTAGCACAGTCCCAGTTGGTATCTCCAGGCTCCACGGTTTGGGATCTCGTGCTTAAGAAAATCACTTTTGGGGTGTACGGCCCCAAACATATTCACCCGTCTTTTAAGACAGTGGTGGCCCTGTTTGGTCACGATTGTGCTCCAAAGACGCTAATGGTGAATGAGTTTGGAAAACAGGCCCAGTCCATCCCTCCTCTAGCTCTTCAGCTCTGGGGCAAACACCAGTTTGTCCTATCCAGACCTCAGGACCTCAGAGTTGGAGTCTACTCCAACATGGCCAACTACGAGGTGAAGGCCAGCGATCAGGCCAAGGTTGTCCGTGGATTCCAGGTCAAACTCGGTAAAGTCAGCAGGCTAGTCTATGAAATAGCCTCCCGGAACCCTGAAGACATCTCGGATTTCACCTTGAGGATACAGGTCAAAGACGACCAGGACTCTATTCTGGAACAGTTCTGTGTGCAGACTCCGACACCGCCTGCTAAAACCGCGCCGAAGACATCCTTGCAGCGGCGTTTTCTGAAGAAGAAGGAAATAGGAAAGATTATTCTATCTCCTCTGGCAGTTGCCACCAAATATCCAGTCTTTCATGACAGGAAGATTCACAACCTAAGGTTTGGAAAATTAATCAAAACTGTGATACGTCAGACCAAAAAACAGTACCTGCTGGAGTACAAGAAAGGGGACTACGTGGCTCTGATTAGTGAGGAGAAAATCAGGCTAAAGGGACAACTGTGGACTAAGGAATGGTACATTGGATACTACCAAGGAAAAATGGGACTGGTCCACACTAAGAACGTGCTGGTAGTTGGAAAAGTGAAGCCGATTTATTTCACCGGACCCGAGCTGACAACGTCAGTGTTACTGGATCAGATCCTGAAACCTTCGAAGTTCCTCACCTACATTTATGCGTCAGTAAGGACAGTGCTGATGGAGAACATAGGGAACTGGAGAGCCTTCGCTGATGCCTTGGGGTACACCAATCTTCCGCTGACCCACTTCTGCCGCTCGGAGCTGGACAGTGAACCTGAAAGGGTGGCATCGGTTCTGGAGAAGCTGAAGGAGGACTGCAACAACACGGAGAGCAAAGACAGAAAGTCCTTCCAGAAGGAGCTGCTCACAGTGAGTTTCAGTTTGATTGCTTCTTTTTCTCTACGTCGTACGGGTTGGAGGTTTAGTTTTTAAGTTTTATGTTTTATGTTTTAAGACTTCGAGCTTCAGGTTTGAAGTTTAGCTTAGGGATTGTTGGATGTTTGATCATGTTTGTTGTTGTCATTTTTTAAGGCAGTCGAAAAGATGGAAACGCTTAATATACCATGTAATGATTACATCAAGTGGTGCTTTGGCCCAGAGGCAATTTCTCTGTCATTGGTGTGGAACCCCAGGGTTCACCTCCTGGGCAAGATCGAATCCCGGTTAGGGTTAGGTTGGTACCTTCCAGTGGACTCACCACCTGCAGGAAGGTTTGGGGGTTGGTACGGTGCAATGTGATTTGGGTGGTGGTCGTGGAGACTGCTGCCCCCGCGACCCGGTAACGGATAAGCGGATGAAAATGGATGGATGGATGGATGATTACATCAAATTTAAAACACTTTGATAACAAACAATACAGTGTTGTTTTGACCACATTGCAGAGGTGTGGACTCGAGTCACGTGACTTGGACTCGAGTCAGACTCGAGTCGTCAATTTGATGACTTTAGACTCGACTTGACAAAATGTAAAGAGACTTGCAACTCGACTTGGACTTTAAC